ATAAGAGTTCTGGAGTCAGGTGGCCTGGGCTCGAGCCCCAGCTCAGCCGCTTTCTGGCTGTGTGACCTGGGCCATTCTCTCAACTTCTCTATGCCTCAGTCTCCTCACTGTGAAAATAATATAATGTTTGTACCTGCTTTTCAGGGTTGTTGGGGGAGTAAATGAGATTAGGTGTGGATAGCACAGGACTGGTTTCCTGTAGAAGGGCTCAGTAAGCGTTAGCATTTTCGTGCCATCGAGTTTTGTGCCTTGTGGACCGTTCCCTCTGCATGGAGGGCATCGGGGTCCTGCTGTCAGTGCTCAGGATGGTTCTGCCCGCTCAGCCTCACCCCTTAGGTTTCTTGGAGCAGTTCCTGCTCCCTGCAGACCTAAGCAGTTAGGGCCTGTCACCCAGTTCTTGGGCTCTCCTCATCGTCCTGGACCTGAGGCCTACCCCCACCCCTGGGCTCCAGGGTGCCAGATCCTCCTCCGGGCCAGGAGGGGAATGAAACGCTCATCCTGGGATAAAAGGCTGGCAGGCCTAGGCTGGGCCAATAAACCACCCCACCCTTGCTGGGAGGACCTCTGGGCACCCATGTAAACTGAGTCATGGGGGGCGAGGGGGTGAGTCATGCGGCCTGTGAGTGGGAGCCAGATGGGGCAGAACTTGCCTGTGGAGGGCCTTTGGCCATGCCTCAAAAAGCCCCAACTCTCAGGGCCCCTCCAACACCCGGCAGGACCCCAGCCTGCCCGGCCGAGGGGCAGGGATCTGAAGGCTGGACTCAGTGTGCACACCAGTGCCCGTGTGTTCCTGCATGAGTGTGTATGTGTGGCGTCGGGGAGGGGAGCCGGGCTGGCAGACCGGAAAGGGAGGCTCTGGCTCTGGAGGAAAGGATGGGGGTTTGGAAAGGAGTCAAAGCCTGAAGAGAGGAAGATTTTGGCGGGAATGCTTCTCTGCCCTCTCCTGGCCTCTGGGGGTTTGACTGATTTTTTTTCTCCCCTCTGCGGGACAAGCTTTCTCTTTTTAGCCTGGGAGGAACCAGGGCCCAGTGGGTGACATGTCTGTCCTGTAGAGTTCCCAGGAACCAGAGCTGCTCAGTGACCGGGGACACAGCTCCCTGCCACAGGGGTGTGTACGAGCATTTTGGGGGAGTTGTGGAGGCTGCCAGAGTGTTTTTAGCCTTGACCATGGCCAAGTTACTTTACCTCTTCTGTCTGCAATTCCTTCCTCAGTAAAATGAGGGCTGTGAGGACCAAAATGCATTAATGCATGCAAACTGCTTGGAGGAGTGCCAGGTGCCGACTAGGTCATGCGCCCGTTAGCTCTTACTATCTGACCCCCAGCATCCACAACTAAACAAATGGGTGAGGGGAGGGGGCCAGGGCGCCCCTTGTGTGGCCATTGCTTTGGTTCCAGTCTCTGAGGTCATTCCCTGGTAAGCTGCCCCATACCCTGCCCCACTGCCTGACTCTGTCCCTCTGTCCAGCCGGGGGAGGGGGGGGTGGTTTCATGTGCTGGTGCGAAGCCAATAATCAAGGGAAAATGGGTTCAGTGGGTCTCTGGGCTGTGTGCCTTAGGTTACCCCCTCAGTGTCTGCGGGATGCGCGTCAGAGAAGTGGGGAGTTTCCCTCCCTGGATGAATCAGCTGTGTGACCCAAGCCTCGTCCCTGCCAGGGCCCCTCCCAGTGGGCGGGAGTGGGGTGCAGTTGCCCTGCTGGGAAAATCCCCAAAACCTCACCAAAGCCCTGGCTAAAACTTTCTCCCAACTCAGCTGTTTCCTGTCTTCTCTGGCTCAGCCCCCTAGCCCCAGCTGAAATCAGGGGTCAGGTAGCTATTCTCCCCATTCCCCAGCCAGCCCCTCTAGAGCCTCCTCCCTGGGGTTTGGGGTACACGGGACATGTGAGTGGGAGGAGGTAGATTGTGTGTGTGGGGGGTCTCCTTTCCCTGGTCTCAGTCATCCTTTATGTGGTTTTATAAAAGAGGGCTGAGCATAGCGGCTTCTCCAAGTTTATTCAGCCTAGCCCACCCTGGGCCTGGGCTGTTTCCTTACTCCAAACAGGGCAGAATCCCCTGCCAGCCTGAGGGGGTGGATCCTGGGGAGTCCCTGGCCTGGTAGGGAAGCAGTCTTTACCATAGGCCTGGGAGATCCTTCCTGCTCAGGTAGGCTTAGTCACTGTACTCTCTGGGTCTCAGTTTCTCCATCAGTAAAATGGAAATCTTAGTCTTGGCCCAGTCTGTTCTCTCCAGCAGTTCTGAGGACCTAACTTGTGTGGTTTACAAGTCAGGTCCTAAGTCCTTGCTGGGGCTTATTTATCGTTGCATCTCCTCACTCCAACAGCACTTTCCTATAGTGGGGGGCTCAACAATGCCGTCAGGCACTCTGGTGTTGGATGACCTGGATTCAAATCTTGGCTCTGCTGCTTATGGCTTTGTAACCTGGAACCAATTACTGAACCTCTTTGGGCCTCCGTTTCCTTTTCTGCAAAACAGCAATAATAACAGAGCCAGGTGAGACTTCGATGAGATGATGGAGGGAAACACTCAGCACAGTGCCTCGCTCTTGTTATGAACGGAATGAGGAGACAGGCCCGGAGACAGAGAGTGACTTTCATCAATCACTCATTTATTCAATAATGTTTATTTGGCACTTGTGCTAGGTCAGGTCCTATGCTGGACCCTGAAGACACCCTGCAGGATAAAGTGGAGGCACTGTCCTTGCGGCGGGGGGGCGGCCCAGACACACAGATGAGAGCCACAGCGGGGTGGGTGTTATGGGAGCTTGGGGTGTGGGTGAATGGGGAAGGACAAATCTCTGGGAGGATGGGCTGGTAGGTGTGACGTGTGTTCAGCCAGGAAAGCACATGAGAGTCAGGCACACCAAATGGAGGCGACAGCATGAGCAAGACACAAAAGTGAGAAAGGCCAGCATGCCTGCAAGAAAACAACAGGCAGCTCATGCTTCTGGACCAAGAAGGGTGAAGCAGAGAATGAAGGAGAGGAGTCCAGAGGAACAGGTAGGGACTGGATTTGGACTGAAGTTTGGATTCGGATTTTAGTTAATTTATGGAGAGGTTGCTCTGGCCAAGCACTGTGCTAGGCTCTGGGGACAGGGCTGAGATTTAGATGTTGTCCTTGCTTTCACTAAGCCCCACAGTCTGGGCATATGGCTTAGGAACCAGCGAGAGATGGGCATCAATCGAGTGATTACATAAGTAACCTCCCGATCCTTGCTGAATGACAGGTGTTCAAGCAGAAGGAACGTCCTGAGACCCAGGGCTGCATGCCAAGGGGTGAAGGAAGTGTCAGTTGGTTCCAGTGCGGTGAGCACAGGCAGGAAGGGGCACCTGAGGGAAGCTGGGGCTTGGCAGGGGTCTAGGGTCATGGCTGCCTCAGGAGAGTGGACTCTATATTGCAGGCTACAGGGAACCACGGAAGGGTTTTTTTTTTTTTTTTTTTTTTAAGATTTATTTGACAGAGAGAGAAAGAGCACAAGCAGGGGAAGCAGCAGACAGAAGGGAGAGGGAGAAGCAGGCTCCCCACTGAAGAGAGAGCCTGATGCAGGGCTCTATCCCAGAACCCTGGGATCATGACCTGAGCCAAAGGCAGCCGCTTAAACAACTGAGCCACCCAGGCGCCCCAGCGGAAGGGTTTTCAGGAGGAGAGAGGCATGGGTAGCTCTGCAGGAGAGCTGGCTGTAGGGGGAGAGATGGGGTCGGTGGGAGGGAATGGGGCAGAGGAGGCAAGCTGCAGTGGTGTGAGAGAGAGGAGTGGGCTAAGGCAGAGCCATGAGGATGGAAGAGAGAGGAAAGTGTGAAATGCTTTGTTAGGAAAGGGGAATCAGGGTGCTGTTGATACCACCTGGGCTGCTTTGCGGGACCCATCAGGGCCTGGCAGGATCCCCCCAAGTCTTGGCCCAATTTGGTCAAATGCAAAGCACTGCTTGTCTGAGGGAGGCAGGGCAATGGGCTCCAAGTCCGAGACCACCTAGCTCTGGGACTTCCCAGGGCTGGGCTGAGGGAACTCAGCCCTGGGGAAACTTGGGGTGAGGAGGAAGCTGGGGAGGGGGCTGAGCCAGCATCTCATGACTCACCCACTTCCACCCAGTCAGCCCAGTGGCATCTCCGCTCCCCTGCTCCAAATTCCAATTTGGTGAGGCTGCTGGAGGCTGAGTCAGCTCCGGCACGGCACGAGAGCAGCGTCCCAAGGGGCTCCTTGCCAGAAACCCTGGCCTCCAATCAAGGCCAGGGCCAGGCACAGGGTTGGGGGATGTTGGAGCCAGACTCCCAGATTACAGTAGCCTAGTTGAGTGGTGCTGCCCACGATCATGTGAGTGAATGTGCCTTGTGGGTTGTGAAGAACTCATGGTGGGTGAGGCCCTGGATAACAGTCTGAGGAGGCGGCAAGGGCCAGGGTGTTAAGTCCTACTCTGCCCAACTCACTGCATGACCCTGAGAGAACTCCTTTTCCCTCTTGGCTTCTATTTCCTTGACCACACAATGGGACCAACATCTCCAAAGCAGGTTGTGAGACTTATAAATAAGACATATGGAAGTGCTATGCCAACTGTCCAGTGGCCCAGGACAGTCAGGGTGGGAGAAGCGAGTCCAAACACGAGAGCTTCCAGAGCTCCTTATGGTTGTGCAGGTTGTTTACTGCATAAGGATGTCCAACCCAGGCTGCCGAAGTCTAGCCCATCCTCTGCTCACCAGACCCTATTCCCTAACCTAGAAATGCCAGGACCAAGAGGATACCTTTCTCTAATGGACACAGATACACCCTGTGCTCAGATTTTGCTGGGTCAAGCCCCTGGATTTACGGGAAACCGCTGAGAAACTGACTCTGAGTCTTGGGCTGGAGGAGAAGCAGGACTGGCTTTGCAGAGGCTCTCAGGGAGGTTCCCAGCCTTGGCAATGAGGTGAATCTTATTACTGGGGGCAGTTAGGGGTGCCCACTTAGGGCAGAGAAGCAGTCTCTCCTGGCCCTGCCTCTCCCCAGCAACCAAAGCAGGTAACCAGTATTTTAAAAAACACTCAAGACACAGACCCAAACAGGGTTTTATTGAAATGCCAGGAGCAGGCACATGTCAAAGTAGTAAAAGGAAGGAAGGTGGTGCAGGCAGTATAAGGTGGCAGGGAGGGGCAGGCCCCATGTCCATGGCCCTGGCATCCCTTCTCTCTGCCAAGGGCTGAGTGGGTACAATCACCCCCTCCCCCCCAACAAAACAGCATGCTTAGGCCTGCAGGGCCTTTGCCCCTTGGACTATGAAGGCTCCAAGAAGGACTGGAAGCACTAATTTTTCTCTCTTGTGAGGGAGGAGAAGGAAAAGATTCAGGAGGAGAGGGAGGTACAGCTGGGGATGAGGGTGGCCAAGGAAGGCTCTCCTCCTGGGAATCTGTACCCAGCCTGTGGTCCTGGATGACAGAGGGGAGCAGCAGTGAAAAGAGAGGCTGAGGGTCCGGCCCTCAGGGAGCCAGAGCCTCCAGCTGGTGGGGACTTGAGTCAGCCCTGAACAGAGGGCAAGAGTTCAAAGGGATCGAAGATGCAGGCAGTTCCCGATTGGCGTAGTCCTTAGAGCTAGAGGGCTCAAACTCCTTGGGACAAAGAAGAGGAAGCTGGGAGGATCCATCCCTAGCAGGGAGTGGGGGGGGGGGGAAGGGGCAGAAGGTGGTCTCCCCTAGTGGCCACACTAGGTTAGTTCCACATTGTTGGCGCGGTCCAGCACACGGGAGCCGCGGGTACTGCCCCCCAGCTGAAAGCGGCTCTCATAGAGCGTGGGGCAGAGGTGCCACCGGTTGGCCCGGTAGATGCCCAGGTAGGTGTAGACGTCAGGCTTGTAGGTGAGCAGGCACTTAATGCCTGCTGCACGGATGGCAGCATCTGCCTCCAGTACACCCAAGCGGTCCGTAAAGTCATCCGTGTAAACACAGATGACTTGGCGCCCACCCTCCCTGGCCCGTGGGCTCACCTTGGCCACCTGAAGCCGGCCCTCGACCACAGCCCGCGCAATGCCAGCCCAGGCATGGTCCAGCTTGAAGCCAGGTGCCAGGTGTATCAGCCACTTGCCAGAGAGCACATGATGGGTGATGGCCAGCTGGCGCAGGGTACTCGGTGTAATGGGCCGCCCGCTGGTCTGCAGAGCTTCCCAGGCTGCCTGTAGGCCCTGCACATCACCCGAGTTGGGGACATAGCCCTGCCCATATGCTGCAATCCAGCCCACAGGCTCAGAGTTGGGCGAGCCAGGGTCCCCATAGCGAGTAACCTGGGATGGTGGGTACTTGGCCAACCAGGCATCCAGCTCGGCAGCAGCTGTGGTTCGGGCATCAAACACCAGCCAGGGGTCCATGTCAGCTGCCATGGCCTCTGCGGCCAGGTGCTCAGCAGTGAAGCCATCCTCACGGCCGCCTGGAGAGTCTTCCTCCTCCATCTCTTCACCTGGCTCCATCCTGCTGTGAAGGAACGGAGTTAGGGCAGGCCCAGGACACATCTACAGTTTGCTGGGCCGTACCAGGTGCAGCCAATGGGCTAAACTCGGTGGCCTTGGGCAAGACTTAACGTCCCTGCCTCAGTTGCCTCACCTTTACAGCGGACAACTGTTCCTGTCCCCTAGAGCTGTTGAGCATTAAACGCCTAAGGTGGAAGAAGCGCTGCATAAAGGTTGTTGCTGATCTTATTACCACTCTCCCCGATTTACAGACCAGAAAACTGAAGCTCAGAGAGAAGTGACTTACCCAAGGTCACACCTGCAACGAGTGACAAGGCCGAAATGTGAATTCAGGTGTGGGAGCAACCAGCCCCGCTACACCTCCTGGCCCTGCCAATAACTGGCAAGAATCCCGAGCGCTGGGATTTAACGGAGGGAGGCAAAGAAGCGCACGTTCGCGCAGCATCGAGGCAGGCCCAGTAGGGCCAGACCTTCAAGGATGGCGCTGTCGGGCCCACTTGAAGACGAGCACATTGATGCCCACAAAGGGCAGTGACCAGTCCAAGGCCAGTGGGGCGGTGGCCGGCCTGGAACCCAGGCTTGTTAGAGCCTACGAAAGCGCCAGCTTCGGGCCAGTCGCGCCCGCCGCCATTAGCGCCCACAGCCCGGGCCGCGCCCCCGCCCAGCCCTGCCCTGCCCCCTCCCGCAGCCCCGCCGTCACCTCCGGCCTTCGCCGCGCTCGGCGCCGGCCCAGCCCCGCGCCCGGCTCCGCTCCTGCCGGGGCTCTGCGCCGCCTGCGCCGCCGTCGCCGCCGCCGCCGCGCCCCGCCCCCGCCACGGCTGCCGCCGCCGCCATCTTAGCGCCCGCGTCTCAACAACAACTTTATAGACAAGCGCAGCACGGGGCGGGGCCACCGGGCCGGTCGGCCGCGCCGCGGGGCGGGACCTGCGAGGGGAGGGGCTGACCTCGGGGGCGGGGCCGTCGGGGAACCCGGGGCGGGGCGGGGCTTCGGGGGCGGGGCTAACGTTCGCTCTCCTAAGCTTGGGGGCCGGCGGGAGTGGCGGTCCGGTCCGGGAGCGACGCGCACCGCCGGGGAGGCTCCAAGGGGAGGGCGCTCCGGCCCTGCAAGCGACGTGCTGACCGGCGGCGCTAGGACCCCGTGGGGAGCGGCGGGGGCGGAGCAGGCGGCACCAGGACCCGGGGGAACCGCGGCAGGCGGGCGGCGAGCAGGCCCGGGGGCCGGGAAGCTGCGGGCGGCGGCGCTGGGCCCGGCGCGGCAAGAGAGGCCCTGAGATGCCGAGCAAGAAGAAAAAGTATAACGCGCGGTTCCCGCCGGTGAGCACGTGGCCGGGTCCGGGAGGAGCGGGCCGGGCTCTCGGGAGGCTCGGGCCCAAGCCGGGCTGGGGGGTGGGGGACGTTGGGCGCATCGCGGTGTTCGGGGGCACGGGCGCCCCGCCCCCTTCCGTGCTCCCCGCGTCCGTGCCCCCCGCCCCCTTTCTCCCGGGATACCCTCTCTCGGTCCGCCCTCCCCAGCACCCCTTTCTGGGACGGAGGTGACAGGGTCCGAGTTTTCTGCCCCCTCCCCAGGCGCGGATCAAGAAGATCATGCAAACTGACGAAGAAATTGGGAAGGTGGCGGCGGCAGTGCCTGTCATCATCTGTATCCTGTCGGGGCCTGGCCAGGTTGAGGGACGTGGGGTAGGGAGGGAGCCCGGGGTCGCCTTGTTTAGGCTGGGGATCCCCCACCCGTGTTCTCCTTAACGCTCCTCAGCCCGGGCGCTTGAGCTGTTCCTGGAGTCGCTGTTGAAGAAGGCTTGCCAGGTGACCCAGTCCCGAAATGCCAAGACCATGACCACATCCCACCTGTGAGTGGCCTGGGAGCTGGTTGGGCCCAGTGGGACCCTGCCGCAGGAGTTCACACACTTAGGGGAGGTGGGAGGCTGCTGGAAGACCAGCAATGCCTCAAACACTGGTTGGTTTGAACTGGGGGAGGAGGGGTTGGGTGGTCTACCAGGCGGAAAGGTCCGGTAGTGGAGATGGGGTGGAGGTTTTCCAGGCTCTATTCTCCTGACATCCAGAGACCCTTGCTGTCCCTTGCTGAGGGCCCAGACATCTGGGCCCCACCTGAATGTTGTCTTCTCCCCTCCCCGCCCCCCTTCCAGGAAGCAGTGCATTGAGCTGGAGCAGCAGTTTGACTTCTTGAAGGACCTGGTGGCCTCTGTGCCTGACATGCAGGGTGACGGGGAAGACAACCACATGGATGGGGACAAGGGTACCCGCAGGTGGGGAGCCAGGGCCAGGTGTCCAGGCAAGGAAGGCCAAGGCCACTGGGGCTGGGGGTGGTTGGGGGGTGGTCAGGGAGTGGTGAGATCTCTGGGCAGATGGACTGTACCTTCCCGAAGGGGCCGGAAGCCAGGAAGCAGTGGCCGGAAGAATGGTGGGATGGGAAGCAAAAGCAAGGACAAGAAGCTGTCAGGGACGGACTCGGAACAGGAGGTGAGTGAGGCCCCCAGCCTGCTGCCCTACCCCAGGGTGTGGAGCGGGCAGTCTTGCATCAGGCCTTGCTGGCTGGACACCTGGTCCCATCCTCACCTATGGTTTTTTGTAAATTGGGGCTATAAAGGTCAGGCTGTAGAGATCAGTCATCTGTCCCTGCCGCTCCCAGGGGTCTAGGTTCTACAGTCATGGGCTCATGCTTTTCTTGTCCTCTCTGACCCCTGCCTTGCTCCCAGGATGAGTCTGACGACACAGACACTGATGGGGAAGAGGAGACATCACAGGCCCCACCCCAGGCCAGTCATCCCCCTGCCCACTTTCAGAGGTAAGCAGTTCAGTGGTACCGGGGGGGCTAGCGGACTCCGAAAGGCTGACTTGTCTTTCTTGTCCCTGTGGCCGATTTGGGGGACGGGGCGGGGGGGGGACTGAGCATGGCTTAATGGCAGGAGATTGTTCTCAGAAGGTCTCCTCCTCCACCCGCACCCAGCCCCATCGGACGGGGCCTGGGCAGGAGCTGTGTGACCTGCTCTGGGTCCTTCCCTTCTCTGAGCTTGGCTGCCCCTTGGTACAGAGGGCCATGGGCTCCGTGCTCATGGGGGTGGGGTAGGGCTCAGTGGGCACTAATGGGCACCGGAGAGGGGCCTGATCTTTCTCTCCTGTTTCTGCCCTGCAGCCCCCCGACACCCTTCATGCCCTTCACCTCGACTCTGCCTCTGCCCCCAGCACCCCCGGGCCCCTCAGCTCCTGACGCAGAGGATGAAGAAGACTATGACTCCTAGCGCCCTCTGCCCCCCAGGCCACGCCCCCTTTTAGTTGGTTTTAGTTGCTCTGGGGGGAGGAGAGAAGATAGAGCTGTTCTTAAATTTATTAAAAAATTAATAATAAAAGGGAACACCAGTGTCTGTCCCAGCCTATGTCCAGGGCTCCATGGCCACCTTCCCATCCATCCACCTGCTTTCCCCATGCTGAGCTGAGGCCAGGAGCGGTGGCGGGCAGGGCAGCACCTGAGTGAAGGGAGGATCCAGAGGCCACGGTTCTGCCCGGGTAGGAGCAGGGGTGCTGACAGAATGAAGGTAGGCAGAGCGGTGGTGTAGGGCCGGAGCCAGAGGTGCTGGTTATGCTGGGGGACAGCCTGTTCCGTTGTGCCGTGGGACCCCGGAGAGGTCCCTATTTTTCTTCGAGCGGCCTCTTACCTCTCTGGTGGAGACTCTTCTGCCCACTCTGGACTGCTGCAAAGGGACAGATGGGACAAATAACGGGAAGAGGCCTTGAAAACTGCAGAGCTCGGTGCCTGGTGCCATGAAGGGCATGTGGAAAGGGGCAGTGGGAGCAGAGGTAGGTGGGACTATCGAGGGCCTCAAAGATCGGCTTTCGAGTAGGATAGTGGCCCTGGTGATAGGGGGTCCGCCCCCATTTCTAAGCAGACCCTCGAACCGTGGGGCCCCCAAGGCAGACGTGTGCCTTCAGGGAGCCAGGGCTTGGTGAGGCTGGGCAGGAGACGTGGCGGCCGTGGGCAGACTTGAGGTGCGTGCTACCAGTAGACTCAAGGGTGCCGTGAACTGACTGGCTGTGGGGCTGAAAGGGAGGGAAGCCTTAGGCACTGCCAGCTTTTTTTTCTGCAGCGACTTGGGCAGGGGCCGTTTTCCAGCTGGAGGACACAGAGAAAGAGCAAGATTAGGTGTCAGGGTCACAGCTTGGGCTGTGGCGAGTTTTGGGTGCCCGAGAAGCTGCCGAGGGGAGGCATAGAATGGGCTCTGGAATATTAGGGGCCTGGAGACGGATGTATGAGCCTTGAGAGTAGGTGACCTCGCCCCAGGGAGAGAGGGGAGGGCCTGGGCAGGCCACCAAAGGAGACTGAAGAGCAGCCACACCCAGCCCGCCCCCCCTCCCCCCCAGGAGGGAGAGGTCAGGTGTCAGAACAGCTCGCGAGCTTTAGGGAAGGCTTGGCGGGTGTTGACAGCGGGGAGCTGGAGGTGAGAAACGGAGGGGAGGGGAGGCAGCGCTCAGGGCTGAGAAGCAGAGACAAGAGCTGTGGCTCAGAGCGAGGACAGAGGGACAGTTTTGGGTTTTGATTTTGAAGATAGCAGAAAGGCAGGCTGTAGCGAAGGAGGAGACTGAAGGACGGGAGGGAGATGGATGCAGTGAGGTGAGCTTGCCTGAGGCTGACCCCAGCCTGACCAGGGCGCGGCGGGGGACAATGAGAGGGTTTGGCAAAGGCACTGAGGTATTCAGTTTTGATGCCACAGTGTCTTTGGGGCATAGGAGGCCAGGCGGCCGGTGTGGATGGGCCCGGGCATCCGGAGCCGAGGGGCACCTGAGTCCTGTCGGCCGCTGCTGTGGTTATAGTGCCCCTGCTGTCTTTTGGGGACCATCTCTCTTACTCAACCTGTAGTATGTGCAGCTGACCCCACTCCCTGGGGTTTAGGGGTGGGGACATCGCACCACATACTCTGGCCACAGTGAGCGACGGAGGCCGGGTTATGACCCTAAGGGGCCAGCCAACACGCCTGAGCCCTTGGGACTTCAGGGGGGACCGTTGGGGACAGGTCTTGACAAGATGGCTAGCTTTGCCATGGCCCTGGAGGCAGCAGAGAGCCCTGGTGAGGGTGACGGTGGCCACCCTGGGGTAGCAAAGCTGACAGAGTGTAGGCTGGGTGCTGCTGGCAGCCGGTTCCCACCCCAACGGGTGAGCCTGACTGAGAATAGAGTCAGTGCAGGAGAGCCAGGAGCCTCAGACGTACCCGTTTCTGATGACCCCGGGACCCAGGCTTTCCGGAACTCTGTATACCTTGGACTTCTTAGTCACATGAGCCAAGAAACATTTCCCCCCCTCGAAGCCAGTTGGCTTTTGGTCACTCGTAACTGAGAGAGCTCTGGCTGACGGGGACCATGAAGAGGAGGCGGTCCCCAGCGGCCCAGGAGCAGGACGGGCAGTCTTCTCCCCCCAGTCCGGGGAAGGTGGGTGCCGGGCCCGCGGAGCCGAGGGCCTGCCACGCAGGTGTGGTGGGTGGGTGGGTGGGCGTGGGAGAGGCAGAGACCCTTGGAGCTGGGGGCTGGGCTGTGTCCAGAGGTGAGGTTTTAAACTGAGAAGGTGCAGAGTGACAAGGCTGGGATGACTGGGGAAGGCAAGGAGGCCAGGAGCAGGCCTCCAGGCAAAAGACTTGAGGAGGCACAGGTGAGGGGGAGACACCCAGGAGCCGCTGGCCTGTGTCTCTGTGTTCTAGGCCCGCTTCTTTGGCCTGGGCGGCGGGCTGTTGAGTGTGACCTGGGTGCATGAACCAGGCCCTGGGTTTAAATCCTGACTTCTCCATTTGCTGGCCTGGAGCAAGTTCTATAGCTTCTCTGTGTCTCAGTTTTCTCATCTGTAAAATGGGCCTAGGGATTACCC